GTATTAATTAAAATTATTCAACAAGTAAATCTAAAAAATTTATAAACATTTATAAACTTATCTAATAAATCTTTCTGAATGATTTTAACAACAATGCTTTTTTCATAACAATTATCATTAAAGCGTAATAAAAAGTAATAAAAATATGGAAAATTTTCAAAATATACATCTTGTAATTGTCGACTAGATGAACCATAACATATGGATATTTTCTTTTTCTAAAGACCAAATCCTAAACATTTGAGAGTATAGTCTTTTTTTTTTTTTTTAGGACACTCTATTGCTCAGAAGCTCTTCATTTAAAAGTTCTTGAAAAACCTTTGTTAATATAGGAAACATCCACACTTGTACATTAATCCTTTCTTAGTATTAGTTATTTTTATTGTTCTTATAATAACACTACGAATCTTTCCCTCGTGGGAAGAACAAGTGTCGTTTATCTAAGTTTGAAACGTTTCGTGGGCAGAACAAATGTCGTTTATCTAAGTTTGAAAGGTTTCGTGGGAAGAACAAGTGTCGTTTATCTAAGTTTGAAAGGTTTCGTGGGAAGAACAAGTGTCGTTTGAAAGTTTCGTGTAATGGTGAAGAATAGCACGTATTAAATTTTGCATAAATATTTTCATCAATAATAAAAAAAATTTACTTTTAAACTTCTTCAAATAGTAATTAGCTATTGAATTAATAGAGTTGTTAGTCAATTTTATTTTCAATTAAAGGGTATAGACGTATTTTTATACTCTTGTACCACTGTCCTAAGCGTAGAACCTCTTCGTTTGTTAACGTGTCTGATACATTCTAATTTAACGGGTGTAATACCAAACTCTGCTTCATAAGGTTTAGAGTTAACACTTTGTTTGTATAAGATGCAGATCTCTCTCCAAGTTAACTCATTGTAAATTTACAGATTGCTGAATAGTATCAATAGCACCTAAGGATTCCATTGCTACAGATGACTTTTGATGATTAATTTTACAGTTATGTGCAATTTTACACGACAAGAATATATATATATATATATATATATATATATATATATATATATATATATTATATATATATATATATATATATATATATATATATATATATATATATATATATATATATATATATATATATATATATATATATATATATATATATATATTTGGGCGACAACTTCTTTTTTGTTCCATTTGTACCATTTTTTATACTATCTATTGCAGGATTTTATTATGCAGAAAGTATCATATTGTTGTGCGGCTGTGACGCAGTGGTTAGAGAGTTTGATTTATGAGCAGGAGATCCAGGGTCGAAACGAGTCTTGGATATATTTTTGTGTCACGGTAAGGAAAGAGGCGTGAACTTCCTGGTTAAATGTATTTCCGCGGTGTTCTGTGACAAGATTAGATTAGGTCTTTTTGAGACACCTAAATAACAATTAAAAAAATAAAATAATATTTCTAAAGGCAAGATCAGATATTAAGTACAAATTCATACAACGTGCAAATGTTTTAATTGATACGTATAATTTTCCTATTTCTCTAAATGCCATAACCAGTCAAATATTTATTTCACTGGGTGTGAAACCATAAGTTTCTTCAGAAGTACTAAAAGATACTTTCAACACTTTCAACAAAAGTAAACAGTTTTATGAGAAAAACTTTTTCTATAATCCAAGTTATCAAATATTCTTACATTTTCTTCGCCACATTCTTTTTACTTCCTATTGTGATCATTTTTTGAAGCATTTCAAAATTTATAAATAAAAATAATTGTCACTATCTCCAGAATGTTTATCTACATTGACTTTACTTTCTCAGAGTGATATTTGCAGTATTTACATTCTTTTTATTTACATTGTCACAACATTCATTATCCATAATATTTACACATTTTCTACAACCACGATAACCAGCACCCTTTTTAAAGATTTTCTTTGTTATTACACGGATTTCCCATTTTTAAACTTTACTATGTCTCTATAATTTAAATAAAATGTTAAATAATTTTGATTTAGAATACATTAATTTACATTAGAAAACTTTTTTTTTTAAATCCAGAATATTTCAAAAAGTATTCAACAAAATAAATTCAACTTGTTTCTTTGTCTTCTTAATAATAAAACAACTTCAGACATTATCTTTTCACAACTGAAACATCCCTTATTTAAACATTCGTTTGTTGGCGATATCCAGGACCTAAGCCGTTTTCGCATGCTAAATTTTCAAAATTTTATTCAAAATAAAAAGGAGATAAAAATAGCACTTTCTAAAAGTGAAATTCCCTCCGAAGTTGAACAGACTTTGAAATATGCAATAGAGTACTGGAATGCGAAAGCACAAAGATGAATTTTTAAACAAATTCTGGAAGAAAAATTTCTTAAATGAAAATCACGAGAAATAACTTTCTTATTTTTCTTTTTACCTTGTAGTTGACAATTAAAATAGTTACTAAGAAAGGCTGATTTCTGTTCGCATTTTCAACAGTACACCTTTAATAATTAAATTTTTGTTGTTGTTGTTAGTGTTATTTAGGTGCTGAAAAAGACCTAATGGTCTTGTCACAGAGCACCGCGGAAGTGCGTTTAACCAGGAAGTTCATGCCTCCTTCCTACCGTGACGCGAAAATATGTCCAAAGCACCTTTTGAACCTGGATCTCCTGCTTATAAAGCAAGTTCTGTAACCACTGCGCCACGGCCGCATTTATACATAACAACTTGGACGTATTAGGCAACAATAAAAAAGCAAAGAGATAAATCACATAAAGTGTTAAAGGTCTAAGAGACTAAAAAAAAAAGTAAATTGGTTGACAAGGCCGTTGCTAGGCAAAAGGCATTGTCAACCAATAAAACCATCAAGGCAATTTTAATATATTATAGCGTCTGTAAGATATTGGTTGATTACAACATATTTCCGTTAAATGGTTTGATCTGTGACATATGAAAAGACAAAAAATATTAAAGTGATAAATTTTGCGGTACATAAAGTATAAATGTTTGTATCGAAAAAAAATTCCTGACGGAAGGTTTAAAAAAAAAAAATAGTAATAATCTTAAAATCGTCCAGATTTGAATAAGATTTTAAATTACTACTTTTTTTAGTTGAGCATTATTGTTTAAGGTGGTTATATGGTAAACAAAAATATTTTTCGATTTCTAACTTTTCCTACATACCAAAAATAGTAGCAAGGCTAAATTATGCTTAATTTAATTTAAATTACTGAAATAAATTTTTTTTTAGCTTTTTTAATGTTGATTCATCATTAAATGCAGAAAAATAAATAAAAAAGAAAATAAATTTTCGCAACTTTTTTATGACATTACAAGTTAAAACCTACCGTATTGATGGGTTATAGTGTAATAAACAAAAACCTTACTAGAATAACTTAAAATAATTATTATTTTCAAAATGGTAATACTTTTATTTTTAAATGATATTTTCGATGCAAAAACGTTTGGTAAAGTATAAATATATTCAAACGGAAACAAGTTTAAGCTTTTATTCTAGTAAGGTATTTCAGTTCTATTTATAAAGAAACAACCCTGAAAATTTGAAGTTAATTGCATATCTGGTTAAAAAGATATGAATGGTTTGCAGTTCGCAGTCAGACAAAAAAAATACAATTGAGAAATCAAGTTTCAAAGCTTCAAAGTTTAAAAACAAGCTTCAAAGTTTAAAAACAATATATTTTTTAAAAATTTACACTCATGCACTCATTTTAACTAACAACATTATTAGATTTACAATTTTTTTTAGTTTTTAAGTAGTTTACAGGCACGTAGGAACAAAAATTATATTAAGAGGGGTGGGGGGAGGGGACAGTGCTGGATTAAGGGACCCCGAAATAGTTTTGAGGACCTTTATTTTTTTAGTCATTTTTTTCTCCAAATGAATAGCCCCAGGCCTCGAAAAGTTTTAACTCGCCACTGTAGGAGGGGGGGCAAATGCCCCTGCTGTTCCCCCCTACCCCGTTGCTACGGACCTGGTTTAGTAATTATACAAACGCAAAATTAGAAACAACTAGCTTTTTAGATAAATATACCAATAAATAGATTGGTTGCTATGGGCGTAGCTAAGTAAATTTCTTAACCATATTACCACCTTAACAATATAATTTCTTCTGATCGGCAATTTGCAATTTTCCATAAATATAAGCTCTTTCTTGGTGAAATTCAAGTATATTTTGTGAAAATTGATAGAAATATTGTGTTTTGACGACTGTTTATAGTTAATATACGTCAGAACCAATTAGAAATAAAATCAGTAGTAAATTATGGAACTTATTCAAAAGATTTTAACTAAATTCATATTAACGCCATTGAGCGCAATTGATCTAAAGACTTCAAAATAGTGTTCTTTAGATTCACTATAACGGATAGTAAAAAGGTTTTGAAAATTATATAAAAAAAGAAAAGTTTTTTTAAATATTGAAAAAATTTTAAGCAAAAAAAATTATAACATCTAAAGCTTTTGTTTGGGCATAATACGGTAATAAAATCTAGCTAATTCCAAATAAAAGTATTCGAATAACTTATTTATTTAACTAAAGGTACAAGTTTAACTTAATTTTTAAGCACAGCTAAAAACATTTTTTATAAATTTATAAGACATTTAGTTTATAACACACACTTGTAATCGTGCGTTAAAATTGATACATAGCATGACGTTTTCATTGAGTTGATTACTTTCGTTATTTTTTAACTGTTGTACTTTATACTGTAAAACAAAAATATTTTTTTACTTTTCGCCTCGTAATAAAAGGATGTAGAAATTATGATTTTTTATTAAATGTAATTTAAATTTTTTTTTTTTTTGTTTAAAGAATAGTTAGGTTAGATAAAACCACGTTAAAGGGCCTCAAAATTAAAAACGCAAACGGTGGCACAAACATTGTTGTTAGAAAAAAACTGGGGGTCTTAATTATACCACGTTATTTTAAAAAAATGTAGGCATTGTTTACATAAAATAGGGGTGCAAAATTTCTCAAATCAATTTTGATAAAAAACAAACAAGACTAATAATGAAAAAAACTATTTTTGTTAGACAAATAAAACTACAATTAGCAAAAATTTCCTTTCAAAAAAATCACAAATCACAAATCACAAATAATACAAATGTATAAATTAATAGTTGGAAAATCAATATTAAAAAAAATATATATATACAAATCATCAAAGATTGCAGCATTAATGCGCCATTTTCTTTTTAGATGAACAGAAAAACCAATAAAGATGTAAATGCTAACGTAATCGAGGCTAAAACAATCAATACTTAAGTTTTTTATTTACTAATTATCAGAATAATACTAGAATAAAATAAATAATTTATTATTTGAAAAAACTATTAAAGAAAAAATTTAATCCAACATAGAATAAAAAAACAATTTTCTTAGGAAAATTGCACTGCTAAAAACTGCGTTGCAACATTTTTTTAACTTAACAAATTTTCAATTGCTATTCTAATTAAAAAACATAGAACGAATACCTTTGATAACGAACCCAGATGAAGGTGTCGGTGCAGCAGAAGCTGGTTTACTTGGTGTCGATGTAGCATAATCTGGATCACCTATAATAACAAGTAATCCAAAACAAAATATGTTAACAATTATTGGTTCTGTTTGATAATATTATTTATTTAAAAAAAGTAAATTTTTGTATTTTACTAGAAAGAGAAAGAAGAGACTTGTAGAGAATTTATATATACAATGTATGTTGTAGGTTTTAAACATTTAGTTATTTTGTAATAAAGGAATATAATTTAATTTATTTGACTTTCTACCTTAATACCACAATACTATGCAACAATTATTCAAAATAGTATGACTATTATTGCAAAAAATTTGTATTTATTAATGGACTACATAAATGTTCAAACCTATTGCTAACAAGTCAAAAAAAAAGTTTTTACGGGTTTGTCACACTTGGTTAGTTAAGTAGACCAATATATATATATATATATAAATATATATATATATATATATATATATATATAATTATATATATATATATATAATTATATATATATATATATATATATATATATATATATATATATATATATATATATATATATATATATATATATATATATATATATATATATATATATATATATATATATATATATATATATATATATATATATACAGTACCGAACTTAATTAACTGGGCCAGTCACATTTTCATGCAAAGAAGACACAATCTTGAATAATACTGATTTAATTATTTACAGATAGCAATAGTATTATATAATAATGTACAAAATATGTAAATATAACAATATAACAAAGAAATTCAGTCATCGAAAGAAAAAAATCTAATATTTTGTACTTCGACCCTTGACCCTCAATAATTCCCTCAAGTGATGCGGCATTGACTGTACCAGATTCTGGAGAGTGTCACGTGATATATTATTCCAGGCATTGGAAATCATGTGCCACAATTCATCCAGATTACTTGGCTTTCTTTTCTGCACCTTTTTGAATAGCACTTCCCACAAATTCTCAATCGGGTTCATGTCCGGACTCTGGGCCGGCCAAGTCATCGTTGTGACACCTTTAGACCTGAGAAATGTGGTCACAGTCTTTGCTGTGTGACAAGGTGCATTGTCATGTTGGAAAATATACTGCTGACCATCATAAAGCTTTGCATCAGATGGCAACATAGCTGATTCCAACAACTCTATGTATCGGTTTTGGTTAAGAGTACCTTCGATACGCCGAAGTTCTCCCGTCCCGAAATCATTCATGCAACCCCATACAATTATTGACCCACCCCCATGTTTTACTGTTGGCAGAATACAGTCAGCATTAAATCTCTCCCCTGGCCTCCCTCTCACAAAGGCACGCTTTGCAGCACAGAACAACTTAAACGGGCTCTCGTCTAACCATAATCCTTATGAGCTTTCGCCCATTCTAGTCTGCTGCGACAATTCTTCTCGGACAGAAGTGGTTTCTTTGCTGCTACACAACCACGCAGATTAGCTGCCCGCAGTCTCTTACGCACAGTATGGCTGGTTACGTCAACTCCGTAGTTCTCGTTCCATGCCTTTTTCAGCTCCGGCGAAGTTAACCATCGGTTACGCTTTGACATGCGGATGAGCTGCCTGTCCTCTCGCTCAGTGGTAGCTCGCTTACTCCCTCTTCCAGCTAAAACCCCAACACTGCCGGTATTCTTATGCTTTATTTCCAATGAATCAACGGTTTTGCGGTTGATTTTCAGGTCTGTAGCGATCTGGCGATGCGAATGACCTTGCTCGGCCAGCAAGACTACCCTCATCCTCGTCTCCATACTTAACCTCTTAGCTCCAGTCATTCTCTAAAAAGATAAAATATACCATTTTAACTTAACTTTTATACAAATTCTGCTTTATTTGGCACAATATTTTATATTGGAAGCATTGCTGACTTTAAATTTAATTTTAAATTATTTTGTTTCAATTTATCTTATTTTTTCTTATAAAATACCAAAAAATTAAAATAAATAATGAATATTTATTTTTTTTTCAACTTTTTTGGATGAAACTACCTGTATGCATATTTGGATAACTTGTATTATCACTCAAATTAATATAACAATAACATAATTTCCTTTTATTTCATATTATTCAAACACATGAAAATCATAAATTTACTAAATTTTACACTAAGTACACAAATAATACTACTAAATATCTACTAACCTCTTAGAAATATTTATTTAATTTTACAAATCAACTTCAATGTTATTATTATCACTTTTCAAAAGGTTTGCCTAACTTCCAAAAGTCAATTAATCAAACAATATGGACTGAAAGTCATAACTTTGTATGAGAATCAGCTGGTTCAGTTAATTAAGTTCGGTACTGTATATATATATATATATATATATATATATATATATATATATATATATATATATATATATATATATATATATATATATATATATATATATATATATATATATATATATATATATATATATATATTTATATATAGATATATATATATACATATATATATATATATATATATATATATATATATATATATATATATATATATATATATATATATATATATATATATATATATATATATATATATATATATATGAGCTAGTTAAAATTTAATATTAAAATAAAACTAAAAAAAACAATAATAAAAAACCATTTAAAATTGTCTTTTTTTTTACTCACTTGTCATACCATTCATAGTCCAATCTATAGTATAATCAGAAGAGAATTTGTTATCGTGGTATGTTAACAATCCATCGCCTAAAAAAATATAGTTTGTATGATTTTGATTTATATGGCTTCAATTGTACCATTCAAATAATGCTTGACAAACTCTGACTTCTGACTTGAGTCATTAAAATGGCAATGTAATTTACAAGACAATGTAATTTTATAAAATAAATTAATTCTTCTAAAATTTGTAATTTTACCTTCATGCAAATTTTGGCTGCTTTGTTAGAGACTGAGATTAAAATGCTTGACAAACTCTGACTTGAGTCATTAAAATGCTCGACAAAATCTGACTTTAATCATTAAAATGCTTGACAAACTCTGATTTTATTCATTTTCAGTCACTATTAGAGTGGCCACAAATTTCAAGATAGCTTACTACCTACCTAACAGCGTCTAAACTATTAAAACAAGAAGCCATACATAAAACTCATAAATGCTGAATTCAATAAATGAATAAAAATGTTTTACAAGTTTGGATTTTTTTTTTTTTTAACATTTTCATTTTCAACAAGGTTGCAAGCAACCACTATTTGAGTTGGAAGTTACTGGAAAGGAAAAGATTTATAAATCAAGATAACAATAAACAGACAAACTAAAAGATTGCAAACTATATAAACTAAGAAAACAATGGCAGATTCCAAAGAACTGATGTTTGAGGGAAAAAACTAGATTAAAAAGAATTATTGGAACACTTAGGAACACTTAATGTAAAAAGATGAGATGATTAGTAACGCAAGAATGAACTTTAGTAGATGGCACAAGATCCAGCATTTCTTATGAATTTAAACTAATGCTTTGTCTTCTGTTAATTAAAATTATATTAAATTCACTCAATAGATGTAGTTTTCAAAACTTTTATTATGATCTATTTTTTTATTAATGCTAAAAGCACTTTTTATTTGCATATGTTATTTAGCTAAGATGTGCAATTGTTTTTCAAAGTATAAAAAGGTATCATACTTGTTAAACTACTTCCATATGCTAAAGCAGCTATGTACTCTGTATCATTAAGTGGAAGCAAACTGTCAGCATACATCCCTACATCTAAAGGACGAGAGTACCTTAAAAATAAAAGATAAATATTAGTATCAATTTTGGTCTATAGTTATAATATTATTTTATAATAGTTTCATGGATAATTATTACTAATAATTAGTATATATATATATATATATATATATATATATATATATATATATATATATATATATATATATATATATATATATATATATATATATATATATATATATATATATATATATATATATATATATATATATATATATATCACAAATATATAGTCATGTAATTGAAAAAATAATCATTGTTACTTAAAATTACAATTAATTATAAAGATAAATAATCAGCATACATATTTTAAGTACTGAATCAAAAAACAACTCAAAAATAAATTTTCTAGATTATACAAATAAAATATTGGCCTTTTTATAAAATAAAAGATAATCTTACAAATGTGAAAATAAAATCAATTCAAAATCAATTTATATCATATTCAAAACGATTGTGTAATGTATTTTAGTAAACGGCACAAGAGATGCTAGATTTTTGGAGCAGCAACCATTATAGTGTTCATAGATCTTCAAAAAGCTTTTAATACGATTGATCACATCACATAAAAAAAGTTTAACTACTACGGAATGGGCGGTATTGCTAATCATTGTTCTTTTTCATATATTAGGAACCGCACTAAATTTGTTTCAATTAATAGATTTGAACCCTCATATAAAGATATTGAATATGATGTTCCACAAGGTTTGTTGTTGGGCATTTATTATTTTTATTATATATAAATGATTTATTTTGTTCATTAATAAATTGGTACATCGTTATGCTGATTTTTTTTTTTTCCCTCTCTTTTATCTATATTTATTTTACTTTTTTTTTTGTCTTTTTAATTTTTATTTTGACTAGTTAGTAACTATATGGCTAGTTTGTAACACTTAACCATATTCTGTTAATTTACAATGATAATATTATGACTATGTGACATTGGTTAAAGGTTGGCTGCAAGAGCAGGTCCAATTATGTTTAAAATGCATTTTTGCACCTTGTCTAAAAGAGAAAAAGCATCATTAAAAGATCCGCTCCAGGTTTGGCATACAAGAATGGATTTGAGATATATAAAGATAAAGAATAAAATTAGATTAAGAAAGTTGCAAGTACAATAAATATTTATCTGAGTTAAAGTTCACAAGCCATTGGGAGCCCCATGCTGTAGCAGAAGTGAGATCCTTTTTAAGCTCAAATGCGCCCTCAAAGTATCATCAGTGAACAATGCCACCTAAGATGTGAGAAATTCTGGGAGATTGTTAAAGTATGTTAAAAAAGTATATGGTCAAGGGTAGAACCTTGAGGAGCCCCTAAAGTTAAAGGAAATGAAGAAGAGTGCTTTCAATTGAGGACAACTTTTATACTACGACTGGTAAGAAAGGTATAAATAGTTTAAAAGATATTACATGATACACCGTAAGAAGTGAGCTTATGAAGAAGACCAACATGCCAAACCTTATCAAAGGCTTTAGAAATGTTGAGTGCAATAGCCTTAACCTCTATCTATCTAATGAACAATAAAACCTATTAGTTATTAAGGTTATTAATGCAACGATAAAACTTATCAGTTATTACCTGAATGATAAAATCTATAAAGTTATTACAAAATCAGCAGTAGAACGAGAAGATCGAAATAAATATTGATGGTCAAAAAGAAAGTTATTAGATTCAAGATAAGAGATTAAGTGCTTGTTTATTAAAGAGTCTCAAAACCTTATGGGATGGTAGTTAGATAAGCAGAATTTTTGAAAATTAGTTTGTTAGACAAGTTAAACATGACTCTGATAAGCATAGAGGAATGTTCTGGAAAAAACCACCGCAAGTTTATAAGAGATATGTTGTCCAGACCACAAGCTGTAGAAGAATCTAAACATGAAATCACTTTACATACAGAAGCTGGAGAGATACAAATGTCAAACAATGGATAAACCTGTTTGTCGACCTGAGAATTTTTTAACTTGAGAATAACAAGCTTTGGTATTAGATAAAACTTTTTTATAATGATTTCTTGCAATAGGAAACTGATGTCTGTTTCCGGAGAATTGTTTTATCGATAGATATGGAAGTTCAAAAAATGCAGCAGCACAATGATAAAAAACCTTGCAAAAGAGTAAGGCTAGACTTTGAATCGTTGAAAGGGAATAAAATATTCCATGCCATCCTGAATTCAAGAAGATAGATAGGAAGCACATTTGTTAGCAGGAAGACAAAATATTTTTACCCAAGAGCTATCACAAAGAAAATCACAGAAAGAGTTTCAGTCAGCTTTAATTTCTATTCTAACTGTTTTAGCTGTATGACAAGGAGCTGAATCTTACTGGAAAATGCTGGTTTTAGAAATTTCCATGGGCAGTTTCACTTTGTTTTTCAATACACTTAAATACTTTTGTGCATTGACTTTTTCACCTTTTTTAACCCGCATCAGCCTTGCGCTGTGATTGCTCCCCATATCATGACTGAAAAAGGATGTTTTTATGGTATACTTTGGATTCCCACAGGTCTTCTAACTCCCACAGGTCTTCTAACTTAATTATAGCCCGTGCCTCTAATTTGTTGAAATACTTTCGTCTGTAAATCTTATGCATTCCCACCATTCTGATGTCTTGTTTTTTAAACTTTTACAAAATTTAATCCTAGCTTGTAATTGAGCTGGACTTAAATAAAGGTTTTTTAACTGGTCTTCTTGCAACTAGACCGAAGTCATAACACAAACTTTTTCTTATTGTTCTCAAAATAATTGTAAGTCCCCTTTCCATAGCAAGTTGTGATAACCTTGCAAATGTTGTATGAAGCTCACTATTAACAAGATTCTTTAAAAATCGATCTTCTTGTGATATACGCACACATTTTCTGCCACAATTTTTGCGACTTGATTAGTCTTGCACATGTAAAGCATTTTGCACAGCAAATCTTGATACTTTTAATTGTTTTGCTATACTACTTTGAGAATAACCCTCCAAAAATAGTGCATTTATTTTACCTTAAGTTATTAATATCACTTAATATCACACTTTTTACCGATAATATCATTCCTATGGCAACCTGACGGTGTAAAAAAAAATTACAATATCTTCAAAAATCGAAATATAATAAAAAAATTAATTGTATCCAAGGTAATAACGCCAGAAATAAACAATAAGTTAAAAAAGTTTGAAAAACGTAGCCTGCCTTAATTTTTTGGCCACTACTGTATATATATATATATATATATATATATATATATATATATATATATATATATATATATATATATATATATATATAAAACGTAGCCTGCCTTAATTTTTTGGCCACTACTGTATATATATATATATATATATATATATATATATATATATATATATATATATATATATATATATATATATATATATATATATATATATATATATATATATATATATATATATACATATATATATATATATATATATATATATATATATATATATATATATATATATATATATATATATATATATATATATATATATATAATAAAAAAAACCATTTTTCCAATTATTTTTCTTCTAACAGCAATAATTTGAGGGCTACGTGGAAGGACATTAGAAAGCTTTTGAATATTTGTTCGGAAGGTATCTCATACCCATCTTGTATATCTTCAAATAACACCATTATACATGATCCAAACAAAATATCGAAAAAATTCAACTCTTTCTTCATTTCAATACCTGACGAATTAAACATTCACTCATCCCATACTAACTTCTATAACTATTTAAAAACACCAAACCCTGAATCTATATTCATTAAACTGATGAAAATGAAATTTTATTTATTATTCTTTCTCTAAATGATGGCAAGGCTTCTGGGGCATACAGCGTTCCAATCTTTATTCTTAAATTTCTTGCTTGGAATATTTCTCCATTACTTTCTAAACTATTTTACCTCTTATTCGTTACAGGTATATTTCCTAACATTTTCAAAACAGCATCTGTTAAACCAATTCATAAAAAGGGCTCAAGACTTGACTGTAATAACTACAGACCAATACCATTATTATCTGATATCAGCAAAATTCTTGAAAAATAATGTATTCTCATATCTACCACTTTCTTAATAATTTTAAGTGCTTATATGGCCGCCAGTTTGGTTTTCGTTTAAAACACTCTACTTCCCATGCTCTTATTAGCATTACTGAAATGATTCGTGGTGCAATCGATAGTGGTTCATTTGCTTGTGGCGTCTTTATTGATTTTCAAAAAGCTTTTGACACTGTCGAGAACAAGATTTTAATTAAAAAGTTTTACTACTATGGCATACGGGGTATCGCTAATAATTGGTTTTTATCATATATTGAAAATCATAGCCAGTTTGTCTCCATTAATGGGTTTGAATCCTCCAAAAAATTTATCAAATATGGTGTCCCCCAAGGTTCTGTTCTTGGGCCTTTGCTGTTTTATATATATAAACGACTTGTCTCACTCTATAAGCAATTCCACTGTTCACCATTTTGCTGATGATACCAATCTTCTATGCATAAATAAATCGCTTACTCAGCTTTTTAAAAAAGTTGATTCAGATCTTCATCATTTGTGTCTTTGGTTAAATAGTAATCGTATCTCTCTAAATATCAACAAAACTGAATTCATTATTTTTCACCCTCCAAAAAAAATAATTAGTAATGATAATGTTAAAACTAAAATTAACGGTAAAAGAACCTTTCCTTCTGAATTTTTAAAATATCTCGGAGTATTTCTTGACGAAAACCTGTCTTTGAATTATCAAATGATTCAATTAAATAAAAAACTCTCTGGAGCCAATAGTATGTTATCTTTAATATGACACTATGTTCCTAAACATACTCTAGTATCAAATTACTATTCCATGTTCTCATCCCATCTAAGCTAGTGTTGCGTTGTTTGGGGGCAACAAGGAAGTTTTCTATTAAATCGTATAAACAGTTTGCAACGTGCTTCCATAAGAATTATGACTTTTTCTCCTATTCAATCTAATATCCAAAAAA